TGAGCAAGTGGATTATTATAAACTTTCCTGTTTGGCTTTTCTGTTTTGGTGTTCAAGCTGTCTGACCATGCGTCTTTTTTAAGCTAGTAAAAGGCCTTGATGTTTGCAGCCAGAGTCTCGATTAAAACCAAGAGTGGCAGTTATGCCATATCTGCAGATGCTGCCGCATTGGCTGGAGAAAACGGCTCAACAATTGTGCTGAAGGGTTTTTTTTTTTTTTTTTTTGCTAGTAATAAGCCAAGTAGGCTAGGTTCTATGTTCAGAAGCAAACTTCCCGAATTCAGTAACTGAGATATACTGCTGTGTATGTGTTAAGTGTCTTCTCCGTCCCTTCCTGGATGCGCTAAATCTCGTGCTATGGATAACCAACAAGCCTGCCGTGCAACCTTAGTGGAACACAAATTTGGATTGTGCCATGTACGGGATGCTCTGTCCTGTGGCCAGACAGATCGATGTGTCAAGATGTGCCTGAGGGAGCACCGGTCTTTGCAGGGAAGACTACCTAACACACTTAGCCATGCACTGTGACGAGTGCTGATGCAAAGGGTGGTTTGCTGTGACAAACATTTTGTTCACACATCACGATATGACACATGAGCTTTCATGTTAACACTAGGGCGCTCTTCTACATCTCTCACCAATACTTCGTCATATCTGCCAAGAAAAGTGACACTGCTCTAGAAAGGAGATAGTTGGAGGGTGGCCCATGCCTCTGTCTTTTTATGTAAGGTCTGACTAATGATGCGCATGTGCAGTTAATACGCGAAGACTTGGTTTGAGTACATGTTTTCTTATGGTGCAATACAGTCAATCCCAGATATACCAAACTTGCTTATATAGAATTATTGTCTCTAAAGAGCAGTTAGGAAATCCCTTTGAATTTTCCATGTAAAGTATGGGATCTGTGCGCCCATATTTCGAGCTCCCGCACAGCGGGACATTCGCTATATCAAACGCTGTGCCGTGTCTAAGCTCAGAAAGTGCATTTTTCTTAGCAAATATTGATCGGTTTTCTGCTGCATTCTAACAAGTTCTGGGCCCCTTGCGTGCGCAGGTAACGAAAATGCAGTATTATTCTATAACGCTGATTTGGTGCGTTGTGCCCCGCTTGTGAGTGCAACAGTATGTTTGATGCGCGATCTGCAGGTCTCAACGCGCGGGCATAGTGTTTTTCAAAACAGATTGATTGCTGAGGACACCATAATGAGAATGCGAAGTGACTCGGCGATCTCATTGCAATGTTCGCATTCCCTTCCTTGTTTGTTAGTGCACAATGGCACACGAGCCTGAAAAGCATGGCCTTCGGGATGTGCAAACTTGTGACGTATTTTTGGTGTTGTCGGTTTTAAAGGGCACATCTCGGAGGCCACGTTCTTTCTAGCTTTTCGCATCAAAGCAGCTGAAAGCAGTGGCAGCCAGCTACAAAGGCACAAGTGACATTGATATCGCCAGCATGTCGACTGTAGAAACTCGATGTATTTTGCGCTTTCTTGCCTCGTTCCTTATTAATCCTCATTCGGGAGTTGAACTGAGCCTTGACCCGCATGTAGCGATTAAAATTATCACGGGTGCTTGGAGCGACATCATGTAAAGCACCGTGGTAGAGAGAGAGAGAGTAAGGTTGAGTGAAATGCAGGGAGGTTAACCAGAAATAAATTTCCGGTTTGCTACCCTGTACTGGGAAAAGGAAAATGAGCATGAAAAGGTAAGGTGAAAAAAAAGGAGGGGAAGGGATGGTTAAAGAAAATATAAGATGCGCACACACTCAAGCACGGGAATGTCAGTCATTTAGCGAGTCCGGTTGACTGCAAAAACTTCAGCAGCGTCTTCGTCGCTTTCTGGCTGGATGGTCAATTGTTCCGGTACTCCAAAACTGACTGCTCTGAAGGTGACCAGTCGTCGAGCCATGCTAACGTTGCCAAAAGCTGCTGTCTTTGGGAGCTATATTGAGGACAGCCACAAAGCACGTGGGCAATGGTTTCCTCAATGCCGCAGTGATCACACGTAACACTGTCAGTCATCCCGATCCGCTAAGCAAAACTTTTCGTGAATGCCACTTCAAGCCACAAGCGGCAGAGGACGGCTGTTTTGGATCGGGATAGTCAGGATGGCATTCGAAGTTGAAGTGATCTAAAAGGCGTAGACGGGTATGCAGAGAACAGGTCGTGCTCCACAATAAGTGTGGTATATCACGTGCTAAGCAAGCAGATCTTGAATGCTGCATCGCTTTTGATAGTGGAATGAACTCCTGCATGCCACTTTCATGAGCATTCCTGGCAGAATTATCGGCATGTTCATTGCCGTCAATGCCACAGTGGCCTGGAAGCCACTGGCAGTCGTGCACCGTGGTAAACTTTCCTTGTGGCCCTGATAACAACTTCGGATGCGTCATGACCACTGGCATTCCGTGCCTCGGTGAATTCTGTGATTAATCAGCATTCCCAGACACCACCTCGGACAGTCAGCGACTTTGCAGATGGCAACGTAGCTGTTTCTGACTGCATCGATGCTGAGATTGTGGCTGCTGTTGCCACAGCTGCGGAACTGTACCCGTGCGGTTATGAATATGCCATCGCTGTCGCCGCAAACCATCCTTTTGCCGCGCTACTAAGCTTGCATCGACGTTCTGCGTCAATCAATGCTATTGAGACTAAAGGAGCTGAATTCGCTTACTTGAAAAGCTTCAGTGATATGGAGAATGACCTGAACTTGACACGCAAGAAGCGAAACAAGTTTATGGTCTATTTTCATGTTAAATAAAGTGCGGTAACTTGCAGCTCACACCATGTTCTTCATTATACTGTGGGCGAATTGTTACGTTAGCGTGTCTAATGATTTCCGAGGCCTTAAAGGCTTTAATTTAGGCCTTAAATATGCATTTTTGTATTTCAAATTATCGATATATCGAACTAATCTAGGATAACCTTCGTGTTTGGTATATCCGGGATCGACTGTAGTCCTCAGGAGTGAGTAAATGCTCATGCCTTTTCTTGCCCTGTCGTGCTAGTGCATTTTATTTATTCATAAGTATGAGCCACTGCAAGGAGACTGCACACCATGGGAAATAGGATACCTTTTGTGCTGCAGAAGATTCCGTAAAAATTTGCAGTGACATTTAAGGAAATATTTTTGAGAAACTGCCAATTAAAAAAGTCAAATTTTCTGCTTTCCGAAGGCTGGCATTGAAATTTGTCATTTACATAAATTCCAAATATAAGAACAGTGTTTAAGACTTCGAATTATTGTAACACAAAACATTATTGTAGCCCTCAGTGCGACAGTAGGACATACAGCCGTCTGCAGAAAGAACTTTGAATCACATCACTTATAGCACTTAGCGTAGTGCCAAGTCACTCATATTTTGCCCTTTTTTTTACCATACTTAATTTTTTTACCATGCTTTCAACATTTTTTTTACCATGCTTTCAAATGGCGAAAGTACTGTCACAATGGCACTGACGTTGGCTCAATTTTTCGTGATAGCTTCTGAATTTTCTTTATATCGGTAGATATATAAAAATGCTGGATAATTTCCTGTTTTTTTTTTTTTTGTTTTCTTGAGATGTCATTTTAGCTTCCAATCATCACGTGTTTTTGTAAATTTGTATTGTAACTCCACTGATAAATGCATTCAAACCATCTCTTGCAAAATTGCCCCGCTCATTGCAAATTCGGCTATTAGTGTGTGGAAATATCTTCCTTTATGTGATATACCGCTTGAAAAGTAGGCACGTAATTGGGGAGGACAGCCAAAACAGCCATTTAAGCAAACAAATTTTGAACTATCTCCCCAAAGGGAACCCTGATGAGATGCAAAGCAGCAGTGGTGTGCTTGGCGTTGACGCAGTTGAAACGGGCATCGACGCGGGTGCTGGAAGAAAGGTTTGAAGTGAAAATCGGTGTAGCGTTTACTCAAGTGAACGTTTGTTTGTGACGCAAAAACACAGGAGGTGGGTTGGGTTTCATGTAAATTCATCGCAGATAAACGAGCTGTAAGAGTGTTTTCACTCGATGTGCAGAGTAGACAGGTTTAGTCGCGCGTCTGCAGCAGCCGTACAGACACAGCCTTCTAGCCATTTGCAATGGCAGACCGCATTCGTACAGCTGCTGCGGATGCATGACTAAATCAGTCTAGTGTTTTCCCTCAATTGTGCGGTTGAGTGTTGCGGGCTGTGGAGAGGGAGAAGTGACTGAGAAGTGTGTTGCGAGCTGGGGAAGGAGCCAGTAGCTGCTGCGAGTGAGAGAAAGAGGGGCATCAATACGCAGCTGCGACTTGACCTATTTGGCATCGTCCCTACCAACTGCGTCGAGGGGAGCGCTGTAGGGCACGTTGGCAGGAGACACGGACGGACAGCGTTATACATGCTAGTCAAAGAGCTGCTTCACACCTAAAAGAATAGTTGGTGCATGTGGAAAAGCAAGCTTTACAGGAATAGAAGAGTGCTATGAAAGTTCACAAGAGGCACATCTTTCCTCTTCACAACTTAAAAGGTACTCTGTGCCATTTACATCTGCCGTTTCATACCAAATACCTGTTGATGCAATCGCAACAGGATGCCTTCATGAGGCAGTGGGACAGTTTTTCTTTCTCAAAAACACTCTCACAAGTCAATGGGACATATGTGTCCCACTTTTTTCTTTTCCTGTAAGCTACTGGCTTGATTTTGATGAAGTTTGTTCTATGCTATATCTTTGCTGTTTATATCGATATACCACAGCTGTTTTTTATAACACTGCGTCATAACTATAAATGAGTCTACAAAGGGTTAAACTTTGAACTATATATATTGGGGCATGTGCACTAGCACTCCCTGTTCGTAGCATTGGCTTCATAGTCACAGAAAGTTGTCTATGTGTATACACAAGCATCTTTTGGTCTAGTTTATTGTTTGAGGGTTAGAAATAATATTTCGGTATGTGCCAGTCTATTTAGCAGTGTGGTGTGTTTATCCTAATGGTATACAATAAGTACGTATTTGCAGCTGTGGCTTTTTTTTTAGGTGCCGTGCGAATGAATAGGAAGTTTAAAAATGCAACAGATCATGATGTGCAAGAGGCCGTCCAGAGTTGGCTTCGGCATGCACCTGCAAGGCAGCAGAAAGGTAATTTGTAAAACAAAACTGCTCTGTTTAACAATACAGTTGGCTCGAAATAATTCAAACTCCAGGGAACCTCTGGCTTTTGTTTAAATTGTGAGAACTTCTCATAAATATGATTGGAGCAATGACTGACATGGTAACTCGTGCTTTGCCGTTTATTGATTCTCAAGGTTGCAGGGATTACATTGAGTGCTCCGAATGGCTATCACTAATGTTTTTAGATGTTTGCAATCATATTATTACTCTTTATTATACAGCACGTGTATGTTTGTGCAATTAAAAGACAAAATGTTCTATTACCTGTGACAGGTAGACCCTTTCAACCTTGGTACAATTTTTGTGTGTGTATATTTTAAAGAACCACTCACCATTTTGAGATGGAGATAATGAGTGAGATAGATTTTGTGAAGACATAATACGAAATATTGGATCATCTACGAAATACCATTAGGCTCTGTATAGCCTAGGACAGGTAGCAACATATGGCGAAATGCAGAGCACCTCACGACACAGACATCAGTGTGGTGTCAGCATAATCAAAGCTACACCACAAATTAGTGTCAGCCGGTCAGTATGGTGCTCGCTTTCTCACGTGCCGTTCACATCACATGGTCACGTGGCCAGCTGTGTTTACCAAGTCAACGGAACTGCCCCTGCCCAGCTAAGTGCTCTTTGAAACCGAAACTGCGACTTGGTTCTCTAAAAACTTCTCTAAAGAAATAAGCCTCGTACACTCGTGCAAACGATGTTTCCGGCTGTGATAAGTTGTTCATAAGCTACCTATTGCAGCTTGTGGGGGGGAATGAGATTTCAAATTTTTGTGTCAGTGCTCCAACACTGGCAACGAAACATTACGTAAGGATGGGCGGTGTGATGTTTCTTTGTCCGTGTTTAAATTAGCGCTGTGTTTCTATCTATAGATCCGTACACCGAGCTCGCATCCAAAGATTTCCAAGTTACTAGTGTACCATGGTGAAAGTGATCCAGGAAGCGTTTGGCATTTATAAACCATAGCCTGGCTACCTTGTCTTGTTCTTTGTTTTCTCAGTCCTGATGCGAGTGTTGGTGCCTGCCTTTTGGGTAGTTTGGCCACTTTGTGGGCAGTCAGTCGGTTTATTTGCGAGTGTTGGTGACATCAAAGCACAAATTTTCAGCAATAGTGACACAAGCAGCAGCAGATGTCTGGCATGGAAAAGTGATATTTACAGCTTTACTGAATTCATGCACAGGAGCAGTTTGAGATAAATGGCTGTAAATATGCTGAAAACATAGCACTTCATCCAAAAATTAAAAGTTTGAACTAATGAAAAATTTGAATTATGAAAAGTGTATTGTATCTTAAACCTTCCTATATCTAAAGAGATAATTAAGCTGAAGTTTATTTCGTTGAGTTCTTAATGTGGAATAGATACAGGAAAGGTAACAATATTTGCAAAGCAAGTGAGCTCTACAGAGTAAGAATTTAGTGTTCAATGTTGGTTACTTTCCGTAAAATTTGCACTCTCGACAATGCTGATTATGTTTAGAAAATATAAGTTGATTTGTTTAACTACATTGTTAAAATATTGCAAGGTATGCAGTGCAGGACTTTTTATAATAAGGTTTCCATAAAGGCATACACACCACCTTCGTGCAGGAACCAGCTTTATCTTTTTCAGGACCCTTTTCAGCATAGAAAAACATAAAATGTAGATAAACATCTGTACACTATTAGCACTTCACAGAAACAAGGGGAAAAAAGAGAGGAATGGAGATTAAGAACCAATGAGAATTGATGGCTTTCAACTGATTTCATTACACAGAAGGAAGAGGTTTTATACTGACTGATGATATGCCAACAAGTGCTGGAATGAGAATAGTGGTACATGCAAGGTGCCCCTCATCAGAGATGAGTGATAAGTTTTTTTTAAAGAACAATCGTTTTCTCGCGTGCTGGTTATTCAGTACCTGTGAGCCCAAAGCATGCTGCTTCATGCAAACATGCACAATGCAAGATTCTCTTAGCTCTGTTGGGGAAAATGCTAAATCAGCGAGACCAGAGCTTGCATTAGAGACAGTTTGGCAGCGCTCCGCTTGTAGGTCTGGAGCTAGTTAGGTGCCGGGCACTCAGCTAACCATTTCAGATTATCCTGTTGCACTAATTTTTTTACAGCACACTTGTTCTGTGCAGATACAAGGTTAAAAATTGTTTGCACGAATAAAGAAAATGAAAATTGTGCGAAGCACAGCCTGCATCACATTGTCACCAAAAAGAAACAGCTTATGTTTTTGGAAACATGTTCCCTTTGAATTTCTTATAACTGGCAACATGCATGTGCCACACAACTGTTGTTGTTCTGGCATCTGTTGGTGCGTGATCTGTAAGCATGAAAACCACTGTATTTCCGTCTAATAAAATCAGCTGGAGATAAACGTTCTTTAGTCTCCTTTTCTCTGCACTCTTTTTCTTATTTCTGTCAAATGCTGGAAGTACATAACTAGCCTAGCTAACCGCTTTATGTAGCTTAGCAGTTCCTATGTGTCATTTTCTAGTCTTTCATATATTTTGCCTGATAAAGTTAATGGAGACTTGTTTTCTTTGGAAATATTATGCAGGGGGTCAGAAATAAGGTGCGTAATGTCAAGTTTTTCATCTATCAACGTTGTTTATACTGTTGTGAGGCAGAGATTAGGTATGCATAGTGTAAAATACTCACTTTATATGTAGCTATTGGCCTATGAGCTTTGTGGACAAGTGTCGGCAACATTGAATGCCCTAATTCATGGTGTTTTTCAATAATTCTGCCTTTTTCTAGAGACTAAAAGATCGCTGCAAGAATACTAGCCCTGCACACGGTATCTTTTCTTCAACCCACGTTGGAGAAGATCTGCAGTACATAAGCATTTATTTATTTACATTTTGTTTCCAACCATCAAGGGCTGCTGCATTTTTCACAATATATCTTCACAATGGGTATGATCAGTTTGCTGTGTCAATTTTTTCTTTGCATACGTTTTACAAACACCGATGTGCTGCACCCTGGCTTCACCCCTAGATTCAGGGGTATGAAACGTGGCTCACATGTGTATGTACATGTCCAAATGCTGCAGGCAAAAGACCAGTGTGTCATACGGTTGAACCTCTTTATAAGTGACATGCGATGAACAGCTTTGTCTTTTATATGAGACCTCTCTTAGAAGCAGGGTAACATCTATGCATTTTCTTATCAACCCATTTTTTAATGTGTGCACACTGGTGTCTATTATACCCAGTTGTCTGTTGCATCAGTGTCCCTTATAAATTGGTTTTAATGTATTAAACTGAAGCCGAAAAAAAAAGAACTAATAGTGCCAAGTCTCGGGGAAGTGCAGAGTTCGATGGCCCTCTTTGTTTCTCTTTAATTTTCTCGTTTCTTTGCTCTCCTCTATTTTTCTGGCCTTTTTTTTTTTTTTTTTTGTCCCAGTTTACCAACACGATAGCTTGTTTCGCAGAAAATCTGATGCTGGTGTCTCTGGTTATGAGTGAAAGATCATCAACTCATCCATGACAGACAAATGAAGAGAAATGCAAGAAGAATAAATAATAAATACCTCAGTTCATGTGACAGTTGAACCTTGGCCGTCTGCATAGCAAGCAGGTGTCCTACCACAGAGCCATGTTGGAAACTGTCACAGGAAAAAAAAATAACTAAATAAACACCATATGAATGTCATGAAGTGCAAAAAGTCTCCTTTGCATATTTATATCAAAGCTGACTGAACACGGGCTTCAATGTAATTTGTGCATGTGCATCAATTAGCTATCATTGAATTTAACAGTTGTAAATGTAGGACTTGCTCGAGTAAGCCTATAATTAGGAATAGGACGAAAATTACGTGTTTCTTATTTTCCATTTAGGTGTATTATCACTTCATATCTCTAGTGCAATAATCGAATATGCATGCGCTGCATTTATGCTGATTAGTTTGTTTCGCTGAGTGCGTTGCTTGCTCAAATTAAGAAAGACTGGTACATTTGTACTGCATGTCTCAATACTAAGTGTCGCACTTTGAGAATTCGAGCTGGAATAATTGCAGGCATAAAAGCATATATTGTGCGCCTGAATGGTAGGTGAATGATTGCACTGATTTTCTTTTCAAGTCCTGGGAAAGATGCCTTTTCATTGTAGCTTTCTGATAATATTTCGTATACATAACTTGCCTGAATAAAGCTAACCTGTGGTGCCTCCAAAAAGACCCCGCACAAGCGCATCCACCCCCGCAAAGTATAAAAGTAAATTGATGAATGTTGCTCTCGGTGATCCAAAGCAGATGTGCACCACTGAGCCAAAGTCTGTATAGCAGCCATTCCGGCAGTGAAAATCTTTCCGTTCTGCAATATCTTTAGGTGCAAAACATTCGATTACTTTGTGATCATCACAGTGGTTCCACTCCTGTGCCAAAGTATACGCCAAATCACATTTATTGTGCCATCCTAAAACTATCAATAAAAATTGCGCCAAACTGTGCCTAAGGCGGATTTGGAAGCCTCTATCATCGGCAATAGCCACGCTGGCGTGTCAAAACATGTGCACCTTGTTCTTGGGGTCACCAAACTTTGGTCACAATCACGTGTACCTAGAATTAATTCGCTAAATAAACAGCGGTTGCGCGTGCGTCCTATTAGTAATCCGCAATGCTATGTTATGTTGGTGCTGACGCAACTTCTGTTGTCAGTTCGCCTAATGGCGGAATGCGCCCTCCGCAGGGGCTTGTGACGTGTATAGTTCAATCGGTAGCGTGAAGATGCGGCGATTAATCGGCGGACGTTGTCCGTTCCAGGAACGCTGCTGACAGCTCGTTTGAAGAGCTGTGTGGCACCTAAATAAAGTAATTTCATTAATACCTGCACACGTGCCGCCAGAATGTCTTTCACGTCTTCTACTGGATATCGCGATCCTCATTTTCCATGTTTCCTTTTCACAGAAGAACGCATGAACGGTGGGAACGCGTTGACACTTTTCCTTTTATATACTTTATTCATGGATCTTCGTTCAGAAGTGCCTTTTCGTAATTCCTTCTTCCAGGACATTCGCGTTTGTAATCGATCTTGCGGTAAAAGACCTTGCCCTTTCGAGCTTGAGACTGCTGAAGTCCGAATTCAAAATTTCCTCGTGCTTTTTTTTAATGCCATCTCATTATTAAAAGCATGCCTCCTGGTCAGAGTAGCTGCAATTCAGTTTTAATACGTGAAGCTTTCAGTAGTGAGTCCATCGCTGGCGGCTCTGGTGTCGGAAGGCCACTTCTTTCTCAGTATGGAAGAGCGGCTACGCCTTGCTACATGTCCGCCTCTCATTTTCCAGGGTGAAAAGCTAATGGTAAAAAAAAAGAAAGAAAGCATCATGGTATCACATTTATCGAGTCGTTTTTTTTTTAAGGGGGGGGGGCGGGGGCGGAAACTGTGCGTCGCCGGCGTGCGCCATCCAGAAGAATAATGAGACTGCTCGTAAACTCTCTAGGCTACTAATTTATGCTTTGCGTTTTGGTGACTATCTGGAATCATAATGAGAATGCTCGTAAACTCTTTGTGCTACTAACGTCTGCTTTGCGCTTAGATAATTATCTAGAAGCATAATGAGAATGCTCATAAACTCTGTTACTAACCTCTGCTTCGCGTTTAGATAACTGTCTAGAAGAATAATGAGACTGCTCGTAAACCCTTGCGCTACAAATTTCTGCTTCGTGTTTATATACCTATCTAGAAGCACACTGAGACTGCTCTTAAACACTTTGTGCTACTAACTTCTGCTTCACGTTTAGAAAACTGCCTAGAAGCATGAGACTGCTCGTAAACCCTTGCGCTACTAACCTCTGCTTCGCGTTTAGATAACTATCTAGAAGCATAACGAGACTGTGCTAGTAATCTCTATTTCGCAATAACTATCTAGAAGCATAATGAAAGTGCTCGTAAACCCTTGTGCTACCTAGGTATTTCTGTTTCATGTTTAGGTAACTATCTAGAAGCATAATGAGACTGCTCGTAAACCCTTTGTGCTACTAACCTCAGCTTCGCGTTCAGATAACTGACAGCACCGAAACCGCTTCGGCACCTAAAGTGGCCATGTTACCTTAAGCAGTCTTCATACCTGCCTAGTTCAAGGATTCTGAATCTGCGAGATTTCCGCAGCAGGGGGGGAGGGGGGGTGCTGAATTATTTATTTATTTATTTACTCTCAGGGCCAAGGGCATTACAGAGAGGAGTGGGGGGTAAAACACTCTACAGGTATACAATGCAGCAGGAGTGTGATTACACATATGAAACATATTTGAAATATTTGCATAAACTGGAAAAATAAACAAACAATAACAGAAAGGAAAAATCAAAAGGCGCAAAAAACATTTGCCGTACACGGGAACAACCGAGCAGGATTTACACAAAACCGCGGAATTCGCAGGAAAAAAAAAAAATCAGGTAATATGGCCACTAATAGCCACCTTGAAATTGGCTGGATTAATTATTGAAGCAATGCAGGTGGGGAGGTGGTTCCAGTCCGAGCTAGTTTTAGGAATAAATGAGTTGAAATAATAGTTTGTCCGGCTGCTGGGTACGCCAACCTTGAACTGATGGTCGTTTCTTGTCGAATGATAAGTGGGAAGAAAAAGCATCGAATCTTTGAGCATTGAATTGGCGTGATAAATTTTATGAAAAAGACAAAGTCGTGATATTTTCCTGCGAATAGACAGATCAAGTAGGTTAAGGGAAGATTTCAAGGACGAGAGGCTAGCCGTACGAAAATAGTTTGATATGAAGCGTGCGGAACGATTCTGGATAGCTTCGATATCATGAAGTAACGAGTTAATATGCGGGTCCCATATCGACGACGCATACTCCAGCTTTGGCTGAACTAAAGTTTTGTATAAAACGAGTTTTATATCTGCTGAAGCAAGAGCGAAATTTCGTCGTAAAAAACCGAGCATGCGGTTAGCGTCGCTTGTGATATGATCGATGTGTGTTTAGCCAAGAAAGGTTATCCGAGATTGTACACGCCAAGATATTTGTAACATGACACTTTGGTTAGGGGGTCGTGGTTGAGTATGTAAGTGCACGCTGTAGTATTATGTTTTTGACGGGTTACTCGCATTACTTTGCACTTATTTGTGTTCAGTTTCATTAACCATGTATCGCACCAGGTAAAAATCTTAAGGTCAGATTGTAGCGCACTTTGGTCGGCGGAATCCAAAATTTCTCTGTAAATTACGCAGTCGTCCGCGAAGAGTCTAATAGTTGATGATAGTGTATTTGGCAAGTCATTAATATAAATTAAGAATAACAGGGGACCTAAGACAGAACCTTGCGGCTCACCAGACGTAACAGAGCAGTGCGTGGAAATAAAGCCATTAGCAACAACATATTGTGTGCGGTTACTTAGAAAACACTCCAACCATTTGAGAATATTTACATCTAGATTGATTGAGTTTAATTTAGAAAGCAGTAGTTTATGACAAACGGTATCGAATGCCTTCGCGAAGTCGATAAATACGCAGTCGATAACTGAAGAACGGTCAGCGGCGCAAAATAGGTCGTTAGTGAGGCTAAGTAACCGAGTTTCACAGGAGTAATTTTTTCTGAAACCATGTTGGAATTTGCTAAAAAAGGAATTGTTTTCGAGAAAGCGGACTAAATGGCTGTAGATAATGTGCTCAACAATTTTACATGGTGCACTGATGAGCGATATGGGTCTGTAATTGATGGGATTGTGAGTGTTACCTGTTTTGGGCAAAGGAACCACCTTCCCGACCTTCCAATCCTGTGGTATTGCAGAAGTTTCCAGAGACTGTAAAAAAATCTTAGATAGAATTATAGCGGATAACATTGCAGTATTTTTTAAGAATTTGGGGTTAATACCATCATCTCCGGGGGAGGCAGGTTTCAGATTCCTTATCAATTTGGCAACACCCACCCAGTCTATGATTAATGGATCCATGGGTAAATAATTGCAGGCA